TATTAAGAATACATCACTAGAATGCATAACTGCATGCCCTCAATATGAACATTTACAAATAAAAAAAAATAATTTCTTGTAGAGAAAATGAAAGACTTGACCTCTTATTCCTTTGCAGTATGGCCTCAAATGAGTCACTGAATTTCTCAGAGCTACAGATTCTTCCTCTATAAAACAAGCACAGGATTGATGAAGAGTGAATGAAATGGCACATGTTAAAATGCTTGTACTGGAAAGTGTTTCACAAGCAGCCATGATTATCGTTGTTATTAGTATTTTCATTCCAGGGTCCTTATGTGATGTTTCTACCAAGATCACTAAAGTTCTATTAATCTCAGAATTCATCTCCCTAAAATAGCATTATAACAAGTTAAAAAATACAAATGACTTTACTTACAATTAAAGAAGGTGTGTTAGGGCTTGGTGCCCGTAGCTCAGAGATTAGATCGCCAGCCACATACACTGGAGCTGGCAGTTTCAAATTAAGCCCAGGCCTGCCAAACAACAATGACAACCATAAGCAAAAAATAGCTGGATATCGTGGCAGGCGCCTGTAGTTCCAGCTACTTGGGAGGCTGAGGCAAGAGAATCACTTAAGCCCAAGAGTTGGAGGTTGCTGTGTGACATCACAGCACTCTACAGAGGGCGACATAGTGAGACTCCACCTCAAAAAAAAAAAAAAACCTTTTTAAAACTTAATGCTAACATTCAGAATGGAGGTAAAAAGTACCTTATCTATGAAAAGCTCTGGGGCAGCATCAGCCCCATATACCAAGGGTGGAGGGTTTGAACCCAGCCCCAGCCAAACTGCAACAAAAAAAATAGCCAGGCATTCTGGTAGGCACCTGTAGTCCCAGCTACTTAGGAGGCTGAGGCAAGAGAATCGCTTAAGCCCAGGAGTTGGAGGTTGCTGTGAGTTGTGACACCATGGCTCTCTACCAAGGGTGACAAAGTGAGAAATAGAAAAGCTTTTCTTTTTTTTTTTTTTTTGAGACAGAGCCTCAAGCTGTCCCCCTGGGTAGAGTGCCGTGGCATTACAGCTCACAGCAACCTCCAACTCCTGGGCTCAAGCGAGTCTCCTGCCTCTGCCTCCCAAGTAGCTGGGACCACAGGCGCCCGCCACAACGCCCAGCCATTTTTTGGTTGCAGCCGTCATTGTTGTTTGGCGGGTCCGGGCTGGGGATTCGAACCCGCCACCTTAGGTGTACCTGGCTGGCGCCCCAGCCGGTTGAGCCATAGGCGCTGAGCCAAAAGCTTTTCTAAAAATAGAAAAGCTCTGCCTTATAATAAAGGAATTCTATAAAGAAAAATGTCATCTGGGGTGGCGCCTGTGGCTGAAAGGAGTAGGGTGCCATCCCCATATGCCCGAGGTGGTAGGTTCAAACCCAGCCCTGGCCAAAAACTGCAAAAAAATAAAAATAAAAATAAAAAGAGAGAAAGAGAAAAACGTCATCTGAATATGTAAATAGCTATCGCTATATATCATTTAGATTTTATTTTTCCCTGTTGATTCACTCAGTTGGACGTATTTCTGCGTGTTTTTTAAAAATCTAAATTAAAAAATAAAAAATCTAAATTCAAATTTGGTTAAGAGGAAATTCCAAATCACTGTCTTCAGCTCCTCTGAAATTAAACATTTTCATAACTCTTTTATTTAACTGACTCGGTCATGTGCTGTGATTTAAATAAAGAAGAGGGTTGTGTTTGATTTTTCTTCTTCCATAATGTCCTTAGTCTTTCCTTTCTGTATTTTGGAAGAGTTTGTGTAGACTAAGTATGTCCTTAGTCTTTGGGAAAATAGGAGGACAGTGGCATCCATGTGGTAGACTTCTAGAAGAAGCAAAGATACTTTGCTCAATCTTTTTTACAGTTGTCAGACATGTAAAGCTGCATTGGGCATAGGCAGCTCATAAAACACCTTTCATTGGTGTCATTTGCAAGTCACACTGACCACTAGATTGTAAAACAGACTGTCTATCAACAGTAGTCTCCAAATCCAGCTGGCAGGAGAGCAGAGCTGGGACTAAGGTGAGGCACATTGGGTGCCTAGGTGGAAAATTCAAAGAGGCACTCACTGCAGGACCCTAAGAGTGAGTACATCTTCAAATTTCACACATTCTTGGCATGTCACTCGCTTCATCCTAATTCCCAGCCCTGCCTGCATAAGAGCCCTTGGCTACAGGAGCTGGAGGTGCCTCATACCCACATTCCACACCTGAAGCTAAGCTTGAAAACCAATCTTACCTTTGGTAGAAAGGATTTACTCATCTCTAGCCGGTGCTTGAACCCTCCTCCATTTCCCCAGCAAGAACAGGCCCAGCCTGGTGTGCTTTATTACTAGTGTAAAGTTTTTCATTTTCCCTCAACTCCAAAGATTCTGTGATAAGAACCCAGTAGTCTCTTTCCCAGATCCTGGATTCCTCTAGTAAACACAGGTACAGCATCTCAGGCCCTGTCACCTTCTGGCAGAATTCCTGGTACAAACCACCTCCTTATGGTACTACCTTCCCCTTGACTTTAGCTCCTTGGTCCTAGAACATACTCCTACTGTCACCCAGCACAATTCCGTAGCATTGCCTACTAGCTTAGACTTCCCTTCAGTCTGCCAGTTTAAGCTTCTTAAAAGAATCTGTGGTTCAATCTGTCTCCTTCCAAATGGTTCCCAGATTTTCCCCCTACTGCATCAGAGTTAGTAGAACCATCTAATCATTATTACAACCCAAAGTGCCTCCACATACTTTTGAAAGCATCAGCTAGGGAAACCCCTGGCCCTCTTGAGAATCACTGGAAGGGAAGACACATCTTCAGTAAGAAACATGACACTCATTTAAGAGCCTGGTTCTTTCCAGCCCATCAGTTCAGAAACTTTATGTCAAAATCATCTGGAAGAATTTCTGATCTATCTATTTAACAAACACTTATATCGAGGTTACCATGTGCCTAAAACTGTTAATGAACACTTGGCAAATATTACAACAACTCATTTCATCTTCATAATAGAATTAATTAATGCCTCCAGAAGTAGGAAAATATTTTACATTCAGGCAGTGAGATATAAAGCCCGTGTTAAATTATAGACATAGACACATAGACAGGTTATAGCTTCAGTTTTACAACCTCAATCACAGATCAAAGTAAACACAGATAATGCTTTACAAGTTCTTTAGGTTAAAAGCAATAAAGTAAACAGAAACACAAAATCTCTCCAGCCAGATCTCAAATAGCTGTTCTCCTTCTAAGTAGGAACAAAGTCTTAACTAATTTGAACTCACAAAAGACAAATAAAAAGACTAACAAACTGGATTCTCTGTCACCTCTTTATTTATTTTTTTTAATTTCACATTAATATGATGGTACGAAGGATTAGATTACATTGTTTTCATTTGTTACAGATCACTTTACAACCGCCAAGACATGGATTCAATCCAACTGCCCATCAACACATGAGTAGATTCATAGACTGGCATACGTATACCATGAAGTACTACTCAGCCATTAAAAAAAACACAACACTTTACATCTTTGATATTAACCTGGATGGAGTTGAAGAACATCCTCCTTAGTAAAGTATCACAAGAATAGGAAAGCAAGTACCCAATACACTCAATACTAATAATGTGAACAAACAGATAAACAACTACACCCCCACGCAGAGAAAAACAATTAATTCAAAGATAGAAAAGGAGGGAGGGGAACTGGCAAACTATCACCTAATGGGGACAGTTGAAGGGTACATAGAACACCCCCTGGGTGAAGGGCTCAACTACAACTTGGACTTTATCTTAAACAAACCTTTCTTCTAATAGAGACTACATGTCCAACATCCAACAGATATCACCAAATTGTTATGCTGTAATACCACATTCTCAATCATTCCTGCTGCATATATGGAATAACTTCAGAAATGAACAAATAAGAAATAAAACCAAAATCCTTTTAATTAATAAGAAAAGAGTATTTTACTCTACAAGTTGTTGGGCTTAGACAACTCATGTGAAGTATACATTTCTTTAGTCATACTGTCTGGCTTCATCACATGAGCTCCATCTCCATGGAGCCTTGAGATTTCTTAACATTAGTGTATAATTTTCACAAATATAAAATCAGATCTCTAGCATAAACATAAAATGAATTTCTCAAAATCTTATTCAACTCAACTAGTAGGAGAACTGGTAAAACCAATTAAACCAGTTAAAGGAGTGTTCGAGAAGATAAGCATATATTAATAAATAAATTCTAGGATAGAATTGCAATGTTATCTGCAAAACTGTTTGTTGTCTGGCAGAACAATAAATCATAAACTGTGGATGTATCTGGTCCATCAAATAGAAATTATTTGCATTAGCATTTATTTGTGCATGGGCAAACATGAACAAGTTAAACTTCGCCCCTACAGAACTGTAAGACAGCCAGCCAAAATAAGGTTAAACCCATAGCAGCACTGAAAGAATATTCAGTAATCTCTTTGCCTATTTCCAAGTTGTCACTGTTCCACAGAAATGAAATATTACAAATACTTCATGGGACATATAGGTACTAAAAAAAAATTCATCTGAAATTCATATTCAAAATCAAATAAAACTGTATTTGATGTGGGAACTCTAACCACAGTTCACAAAAACTTACCAAGTTACAGTTCTGTTGCCAACGCTGTATCTCTTAAATCCCTACCTCAGTTTCTCATCTTTGCCTAGGTAATAAATACTGAGATTTCTACTGAGCTACTATTCTTTGTATTTACCACTAGAGGGAGTGTGCACAAAATTTGTAATACGCTAGTCGAGAGGACGAGAAGAAACTACCAGTGCGTTTCTACATCTGATCCGCCAGGGGGCAGTGCAGGAACCGCTCAGATTTTGCAACCAGGCTGCTCACAAGCTCCCTAAGTAGTCGAATGCCCCAGCCGGACTGCGCAGGCGTCCAGCTGACCGCGCAGACGCTGTGGTAAAACTCGTGGTGGTGGGGGCGGGGAGTGCGCACACTCGTCGTCGACTGAGGAGCTGGGGGTCCGGCAGCGCTGACTAACCTGAATTTCCTGCGCTTGGTGGAGATGCCCAGTCGGGGAACGCGCCCGGAGGACAGCGCCGTGCTGATTCCCACCGACAACTCGACCCCACAGAAGGAGGACCTCTGCAGCAGGGTGAGTGTGGGAGGCGACGAGACCGGGCACCGCTTGACCCTGCAAATGGTCCGCCTGAGGCAACATGGCTGGCCCGACCCGGGCTCGGCTTTGACCTGCTGCTTTGCTCCTTTCCACTCATAGCGCTGGACAACCTCAGTTAATCCTGCCCATTCCTAAAAGTGTTGTGATAAGGGAAACCCTGAAATTGGCCCTCAGAGTAGGCGTCTGTGGCAGTGGGGTGAAGTTCGTGTTGGGTTTTTCTCCCTACTCTTCTTAGATTTTTAGAAATAACCGCCAACCCCAAATCTGTTCTGCCGCGGAAATTCTTAGTTTTCCGTGCCAGCCATCCGGGAGCCATTCTTGACATCTGTCACGAAGTGCTGTCTTTTCTACCTGTGAAGCGCATTTCAAATATGTCCCTGCGCGCACTCTTACCACCCCAAGCTCGCCGTCGGAGCACGCGACAGAGGCTTCCTAACCGGTCTTTCCTCATCGACCTGTTACCTCCTTCTAATCTTCTTGCCACTTTAGCTGAATCAATGGTCTTAAAATACACATCTGAATGTCACCCGCTACCAAAAGGGTGAAGACAGGGAACCGATATAATATAAATCTTAACTACCATAAACAACATTTTTAAATATGTGGGAGAGAATACCTTGCAGGTATTGCATGTCCTAAATTCTACCTGCTTTGGTTCTGTCCTAAACTTTGGTTCTGTGACATCTTGGGCAAATCGCTTTAATCTTTCCAAGTTTTAAGGAGGTTTTACACCTTGGAATTCAATGTTATCTAGTCCATTACCACAACTCTGGCAACTGGGGAGACAGAAACAGAAAGGTACACGCTCATGAGGATTGGAGGACTTGGAGAAGGGCTAAATTTTCACAATACACACAGCCCAATGGGATACACAACCATAGCAAGCCACTTAATTTACAAGTACTGATAGATAGCAGATCCCTGAGGTGTGAAGTAGCACAGAGATTATAAAACCTGCATTTAGAGACACTGGTGATACTATGTAATCAGTCATGTTCCTAAAATAACTACAGTTACTGAAAAGGGTTAAGCAGCAACTTGGTTTTCACTTAGTTGAGCCCTCACTTGCAAATAAAAAATGAAGCTTCCTTCAGCAGTACTAGAAGATACAAAGATACGAAAGTGACAGCTCTTACTGCCACAAATAGGATTTTAGTACTACTTCCTTGATCCAAATGACTGGCTGCACCATTGAATATATTAATCATGAAGAGGACTGGTAATTATGGGAGGGGGAAGTAGCTCACTCCTCATTCCCTTTGCTTTTTTTTTTTTTTTAAGGTAAAGCACAACTTAAAAGAGTTAATTGAAAGACTGCCATTATTTTTGGTGCATATTGTCTATTTTTAATAAGAGGTATAAAGTTTTAATTTAGTACCTGCACTCCTTGGCATGAATGCTGGGTACAAACACCAGACTCCTAGTGTGGGCTCAAGGGGTTCCCTAACTCTTTGGCAAGTCTAATCACTGTTTTCTTCTCCAACTTTACTTACACCATTGCATAGACTACTATCGAAAAGAATTCTGTATAGGCCAGGCCTGGTGAGAGGCCAAGGTGGGTGAGAGTGAACTGGTCTCTACTAAAAGTAGAAAAACTGAAGCAAGAAGATCTCTTGAGCCCAAGAGTTTGGGGTTGCTGTGAGCTATGTTAATGCCAGAACACTCTACCCAGGGTGACAGAGTGAGACTCTGTCTCAAAAAACTAAAAGAATCTGTCTATTCACAAACTGCCCCTTTGGACAATCAGTATACAACAATTTCTTGTCCAATCTTTCTAATTTTAAAACAAGCACTTAAAGGAGTTTTTCTTTATTTTAATAGATAAAAGAACAAAAAATTGTTGTGGATGAACTGTCTAACCTGAAGAAGAATAGGGTAAGTTATCAGAGGCCTTCTGGATAATCGATGGGAGGTTTGGTTATTTGTATTAACTGTATATATTAAAGTTATAAGACTTGTACTTTGGTGTCTTGGAGCTGCAGTCACTAATAATATTTTATACTTGAATTGTTCTTTTTCCTTTGGAAATAAATGAACTTTTAAATATATTGAGAAGAAACTTCCTTTAAATGAATCTGACCAATTGAAAAAGGAAGAATTATTTTCCCTCTCCCCCCAAAATTTTTACATAAATCCTCTAAATGCTTAATGTGGTTATTTAATGCCATTTCCATTAATGTATTCATAAACTGAGAATTGTGTAGCTATACTGTCAAAAATTACATTTTAAAGTTCAGGAAATTATTTTTAGTTCTTTAATTTTAAAGGTCATTTGATGACCAGGTGCTCATGCCTATAATTCTAGCATTCTCAGAGACTGAGGCAGGAGGATTGCTTGAGCTCAGGAGTTTGAGACCAACCTGAATAACAGCAAGACCCTGCCCTACTAAAAGTAGAAATACTAGCTGGGCACAGTGGCCTGTGCTTATATTCCCAGCTACTCTAGAGGCTTAGATGGGAGATTGCTTAAGCCCAGGAATTTGAGATTGTAGAGAACTATGATGACGCCATTGCATTTCAGTCGGGGCAAAAGAGTGAGACTCTATCTCAAAAAAAATCACTTGATATCTGGCAGGTTAGACATTTCTGATATTATTACTTACGGAATATTAGAAATTGGGGCACAATTAGTCTAAACTTTCTGGAGGGCAAACTGGCAGAATGTACCAATGCCTTAAAACTGTATAGTACTTTGACCTTGCAGTTCCATTTAGAGTAACTCATAAAGGAATCATGGAAGTCCATGAAAATGAAGTTATGGAAATACTCATCACAACATTGATTATTAAGAGTTGGTAACATCTGAAGTGTCTAAAATTTGAAAACTGAGCACATAAACTGTAATATGCTATGTATATGTTGTAAAAGAACACTTACTGATAAATAGTGTTTGCAATGTATTGCTTTTGTTTATTAATAAAACAAATGATAACCCTGTAAGCATCATAGGAGCCCTTTGAAAAAGGGTATTAGGATATAAACAGAGAAAATAGAGTTTGACAGCAGTGTCAACGGTAGCAATTTCTGAGTGATAGGACAATGGACGACTTTTATTTGTTAGTCTTTTTGTTTATCTGTATTTACTGAAGCATTGTACGAGTTTGACATCTGCTTTTTAGATCAAGTCTTGATACTGTCCCACGTTATGTTTTGCAGAAAGTGTACAAGCAGCAACAGAACAGCAACATATTCTTTCTTGCAGACCGAACAGAAATGCTTTCTCAAAGCAAAAGTAAGCAGGTTTTTTGTTTTCATGTTTGGGTGGGGCAGTGACAGTGGAGGTATGGGGTGTCAGATTCACACAGTGGTTTGGTTTTCTTCTAAAGAAGAGTCTACAGTTTAAAAAATATATATATGTATTTACATATTTACATACACATATATACATACATATACATATATACATATATATTTTGTAAGATATGTTAGAAAACAATTGTTACTAACACATGCTTTAGAGTTTCAGACAGATGTAAGTATGAAAAACCTTTACCACTTTTTTTTTTTTTTGCAGTTTTGGCTGGGGCTGGGTTTGAACCCACCACCTCCGGTATATGGGGCCGGCACCCTACTTGAGCCACAGGTGCCACCCAAAACCTTTACCACTTTTTACCTTTGTGACTTGGGGTGAAATACTCTGAGCCTTCATGGTCTTTGATGATTTAAATAAAATAGTACTTGCTCAGCACCTGGGCCAAAATAAGCACTCAGCAAACAGAAACTATTTTGTTATAAGTTAAACATTCTTAATTAGTTGCCCAGTCATTATTGGCAATAACACACTGCTTTTACTCATAGTTTGATTGTGGTAAATAGCCTATGAATTACTAATTAAAAGTCCAAGAACTTAATATTTCTCTCCCTCTCTGCCACAGACTTATTAGATGAACTGAAAAAAGAATACCAAGAAACAGAAAACTCAGAGAAGAGCAAAATCAAGAAATAGTCAACTTGACATCACATAACCATGTGTGGCATTTGTTGTTCTGTAAGCTTCTCTGCTGAGAATTTCAGTAAAGAGTTAAAGGAGGATTTACTGTATAATCTTATGCGACGGGGACCCAATATTAGTAAACAGCTGTCAAAGTCTGATGGTAGCTACCAGTGTTTATTTTCTGGTCACGTACTTCACTTGAGAGGTGTTTTGACTGCCCAGCCTCTGGAAGATGAAAGAGGCAATGTGTTCCTGTGGAATGGAGAAGTCTTCAGTGGAATAAAGGTTGAAGCTGAAGAGAATGATACTCAAATTATGTTTAATTATCTTTCCTCTTGTGAGGATGAATCTGATATTTTGTCACTCTTCTCAAAAGTTCAAGGTCCTTGGTCTTTTATATATTATCAAGCATCTAGTCATTATTTATGGTTTGGTAGGGATTTTTTTGGTCGCCGCAGCTTGCTTTGGCATTTTAGTAATTTGGGTAAGAGTTTCTGCCTCTCTTCAGTTGGTACCCAAACATCTGGAGTGGCAAATGAGTGGCAAGAAATTCCAGCATCTGGAGTTTTCAGAATTGATCTTAAGTCTACTACCATAACCAGATGTGTAGTTTTAAAATTGTATCCTTGGAAATATATTTCTAGGGAGAATATCGTTGAAGAATGTGTTAATAGCCTGACTCAGATTTCAGCAGACTTACCAGCATTTGTATCAGTGGTACTAAATGAAGCCAAACTATTCCTTGAAAAGCCCGTTGTTCCTTTAAATATGTTGTTGCCACAAGCTCCATTAGAGACTCACTGCAGCAGTAATGCCAGCATCCCACCCACAAGAGAGACCCTTCAGGCCTTTCTTGCTGATGGACATACAAAGGAAGTAGTTCAGCAGTTCATTCATGTCCTAAGTGTTGCAGTCAAAAGACGTATCTTGTATTTACCAAGGGACGAAAACCTGGCACCAAATGAAGTTTTGAAAATGTGTGAAAGGAAAGCCAATGTTGCAATCCTGTTTTCTGGGGGCATTGACTCCATGGTTATTGCGGCCCTTGCTGACTGTCATATTCCTTTAGATGAACCAATTGATCTTCTTAATGTAGCTTTCATGACTGAAAAAAAGACAATACCAACTAACTGTAACAAAAAAAGGAGTAAACAGAAAAATCACCATGAAATACCTTCTGAAGATTTCACTAAAAATGTTGCTGCCACTGATGATGACAGTCCTTATAAACAATTCAGTGTACCAGATCGAATCACAGGAAGAGCAGGACTAAAGGAACTACAAGTGATTAACCCTTCCCGAATTTGGAATTTTGTTGAAATTAATGTTTCTCTGGAAGAACTGCAGGAATTAAGAAGAACGCAAATATGTCACTTAATTCGGCCCTTGGACACAGTTTTGGATGATAGCATTGGCTGTGCAGTCTGGTTTGCTTCTAGAGGAATTGGTTGGTTAGTGACCCAGGATAAAGTAAAATCGTATCAGAGCAGTGCAAAGGTATGGCACAGTGTTTCTGCTTAGAAGAATGTCTGAGACCTAATTTTGACTGGTAAAGCTTTCAGCAGTTAGGTTACAAGAATGCAGTATATTTTAGTTGCATTTAACCTATACTAAGGCCAGGTGCGGTGCTCACACCTATAATCCTAGCACTGTAAGAGGCTGAGGCAGGTGGATCACTTGAGCTCTGAAGTTCAGAGGCCAACCAATCTAAGCAAGAGCTAGACCCTGTCTCTAAAAATAGCTGAGCATTGGCACCATAGCACTCTA